GGAAGCAAAGCCCAAACCACACCCACTACAGGGAGTCAATTCCAACTCACAGCGCCCCTAGAGGACAGAGTGGAACTGCCTCACAGCGTTTCCAAGACTGTCAATGTTTAGAGGCCGACTGCCTTATCTTTCTCCCATAGAGAGGCTGATGGGTTCAAAGAGCCCACCTATTGGTTAGCAGGCAAATGCTTTAACCACCTTGCCACCAGAGCTCCTTTCCATAAAGGTTACAGCCTAGGAAACCCAATGAGGCATTTCTACTCCCTCACATGCGGTCTCCCCCATGAACAAGGACTCATCGGCACCTAACAACAACAACATGGATTGAATTTGTGAAACGTGGAATTCTGTGTTCCACAAAAAATATGGGTTGGAATGGTTACAGGGGACATCAAGCTCAACTGGCATAACACACTATACAAAAACATTGTTCTACATCCTACTTTGGTGAGTATCAACTAGGGTCTTTAAAGCTTGCAAGTGGCCATCTAGATGCAACAATGGGTCTCTCCTCGTCCAGAGCAAAGAAGAATGAAGAAAACCAAAGACACATGGAAACAATTAGTCCAAGGGACTGGTAGACTATGCGACCCTCAGCCTGTATGGCCGTGAGACCAGGAGAACTAGGTGGTGCCTGGCTACCACTGTCAACCACTTGGAGGGGGATCAGTGCAGGAGATCCTGGATAGAGAGGGAGAACAATGTGGAACAAAACTCAAAACAATAACAGTAATAATAAAAGGCCTGGTTTACTGGGCTGATAGAGCCTGGTGAGACCCCCAAAACTATGGCCTCCAGTTACCCTTCAGGTCTGGAATTGATCTCACTCCGGTGGCTTCCAGCCAAACAATAGACAGGCATATGGTGTGAACATTTACTTCAAGTAGATACACTCTTTAGAATGACCAAGCATGGGAGAACAGAAGGGCAGTGTTTGCACAGGAAGATACCTTGGGGGGCAGGCATGCATAGGAAAGAAGGACACAGGGAAGAGGTAACTACAGGGAGGAAGTGGGAAAAGAGCTGTTACATTGTGGGGAATTGCAGTCAATGCATGAAACAAAGCGTGTATGAGCTGCTGTAAGGAAAATGAATCTGCTGTCAACTTTCCCCCAAATCACAATAAAAATTAAAATGCATATATATGACTCATACCCCCTACCTGTGGATGTAATCCTCTCTGGAAATAGAATTGTCTTTGTTATGTCTCGAGGCCATGTGGGTATGGAATGTGTCCTGAATCTAATTACTTCTGAGTGATACAAAGAGGAGTAGTGACAAAGAGATAGACAAAGAGACTTGGGAAAGACAGCCACAACTGCAAGAAAAGGGAGACAGCCCTAGTCACAAACCCAGGAACCCCCCAGACTGCTAATCACTGTTGGTGTCAGGTGTCTTTGAGTCAACTCTGACTCATACCAACCCTATGTACAACAGAACAAAACACTGCCTGGTCACATACCATCCTTGAAACCCTGCTGTGTTCGAACCCACCTTTGCAGCCACTGTGTCCATCCATCTCATTGAAGGTCTTCCCCTTTTTTCCTGACCCTCTCCTTCTCCAGGAACTGGTCTCTCCAGACAACATGACCAAAGTATGAGTGAGAGATGAAGTCTGGCCATTCTCGATTCTGGGTGGACTTCCTTCAAGACAGACTTGTTGGTTCTTCCAGCAGCCCCTGGCACATTCAGTATTCTTCTCCAACACCACAAGGCAAAGGCATCAATTGTTCTACAGTCTTCCTTAGTCGTTGTCCAGCTCTCACATGCACATGAGGACACTGAAAGGACCATGGCTTAGTTACTAGAAGCTCAAATAGACAACAAATGACCTGCCCTAGAGTCACACCACGAATGTGGACTTCTCTGGTGGCATAGTGCCCAAGACCCTTGACTGCTAACCAGAAGGCTGGCAGTTCAAACCCACCAGCCACTCCTCAGAAGGAAGGTTGGGCAATCTACTTCCATAGAGATGCTGCCTCGGAAACCCAAGGAGGGGTCGCTATGAGTTGGCCCGAGTCGACGGCACATAACAACAACAACAACTGTGAGAAAATGAATTTCTAGCCTTCAGAGCCACCCACTTGGTGGCCTCTCTGTTAGAGCAACACTGGGTTACTAAGATACCACCCCCATCCCACAGCATCCAGATGAAGTCTGGGTGAAACACTATTCAGTACCTGTTGTTGTCGTTGTTGTTATGTGCTGTGGAGTCGGACCCGACTCATAGCGACCCCTCCTTGGGTTGCCGAGGCAGTATCTCTACGGAAGTAGATTGCCCAGTCTTCAGTACCTATCACTCCTAACTCCAAGCCCTTCAGTGGCTCCCATCTCAGAGGAAAAGTTAATGTCAACCAATGGCCCTGCAAAACATTATGTGTTTTGGCCGCATTTCTTCTCTGACTCCATCCCTCCTCACTCACTGCAGTTCAGGGGTCCCCAAGACCACCTTCAGGTTCAACAATTCTCTAGAAAGACTTGTGAACCCCAGAAGAGCTGTTAGGCTCTTGTAACAGTGAAAAGACATATTGAAAGAAATCAAGTGCACAGGTAGGAGCTGCTGAGAAGTTCCTGAGTCTGGAAGAGGCTGGGAGGCGCCGGAGGAAACTGGGTAAGACTTGGGGTGATTCAGGAAAAACAAAACAAACAAAAAACGGATAGGGCTTGGACAAAACTGATAAGAGCCCTTCGTGAATCAACTATTGGGACACAACAGGACATCAAGAAAAGCTTTAGCAGGGGGCAGGGGTGCATGGAGGGATGGATGCAGGGAAGAGGTAACTATCGAGAGGAAGTAGGAGGGGAGCTGTTGCATTGTGGGAAACTGTGGTCAATGTCGTGAGACAAAGTGTATGTGAACTGCTGTGTGGAAAGTGGATTTGCTCTGTCAATTTTCACCCAGATCACAATAAAAAAAAAAGAAAAAATAAATGAAAAGGAAAAGCTTTCAAAGGAACCTTTCCCTCTGGTGATGGCTACAAGCCAAGCTTTGTTTAGCGTGGGGTTGGAGATAATGCTGGGTAATTCCACCTTCAAGGTCAAGTTCAGCTGCTTCTGCTCTGAGCTCTTCTTGGCGTCCTTCATCTGCCCATACTCACTTGAGGTATGTGTGCCAAGGGGCACCAGGAACCTGGCCCTATGGCCAGCCTGTGGTGCCTATGTGTACAGTGACCTGCTGGAGCCAGGTACAGGTAATGCGTGTACACGTGTGTGGTGGTGGTGGGACTTGGGGAAATTGGCAACAAGGTCAGGCCTGGACGTGGGAGAGGATAAACCAAAAACGAAGAGGGTCACGTTGAGGTGGGAAGTCGAGGGACTGCAGAGAAACATGAAGAGCGAAAGAACTGGGCGTGGGACTGGGCTTAGAGTTGGAAATGTGGTGGAGGTGGGGATAGGCGTGAGGACCAACCAAAACAAAAGCAAACTCACTGCCTCTGAGTCAATTCTGCCTCACAGAGACCGCCATTGGGTTTCTGAGGTGGTAAATCTTCCCAGAAGTAGATTGCCCCATCTTCCTTCCGCAGAGCAGCGGGTGGGTTTGAACTGCCCACCTCTGGTTAGCAGTCCAATGCCATACGCACTGCACCACCAGGGGAATGAGGATGGAGTTAAGTTTGGAGATGAGGATGGGATGTGTTTGAAGTGGGAGCTGGGGTTAAGGACGGACTCTGTGCTCTGAGTCTCCGTCCAGCACACGCCCATGGCCCAGACTTCCTGAAGCGTGTCCTGATGTTCCTCACAGAGGCCATGGCCATTAAGGCAGGGGTCCCCTATGTTCATGACCTCCACTGCTGGAAGGCTACACACCTTTGCCGCTCTCAGGGGCAGCCAGTCACCTCACTGGTGAGGGTATGGGTGAGGGACGGGGGCCTCCAACCAGAGTCACTAATACAGGAGGGGCCAGGTCTCTTGGGTCACCGCTGGCTCTCCCCTTTGCCACCTGTCCTGGGGGGCTGACTCAGGTCACCTTCATGGCAGGCAGAGGTCTTCTCCTGGGCCGTTCACCGCTCCGTGGAGGTCTAGTCTGCCTGGGCCTCCTGGGTTGTAGAAGCTTTGCCTGATGCCTGCTCACAGGGGAGTGGTTGACCAGAACCCGATACCAGAGGCGGAGGGGGAGGCAAGTGCTTGGACAGCCTGCAGCCCCCCGTCCTCAGGTACCGGATCCAGGTGATGGCCTTCACCTTGGTGGAGGCCACATCACAGGCAGAGTTGCCTCTGCGTTCAGTTCTCAGTTGAGATCGTGGGTGTGTCTGCCTTTCCTTGAACTTTTTCAGAACTGTGACCATCCTTTGCCTACCCTGGGTTTAAGCCCAAACCAGGCACCAGGGACCCGGAGCCCCCAGTCCCTCCTACCTCAGGCACCGGAGTCTTAGTTCTCGAGCCCCCAGCCCCCTCCTCCTCCAATTCCAGGGGCCCAGCCTTTGGTTTCTTCCCTTTATGGGGACCCTGGATCTGAGGCCCCCTCTCCCGGTGCGGAAAGTTGCAGTACCCACAGGAAAGCATGACAAGGTCCCAACTGTCCCCTCTGGCCACATCCCCCTCCCGCCTCACTCACATCCTGACCTCAGACACCTCGGGGCCCCCAAAGCTCTATCTCCTCTCTTCCAGGAAGCCCCCTGTGGTGTTGAGGGCTCCAGGGGGAAGGGTAGTTACGGAAGCTGAGACAGAGAGACAGGGCCTGCAAACCGCCACCTAAACCACCCATCTTTCGCCACCTTCAGTGCCTTCCCCCATCACACACTCTGAGCGGAGCCAGAACTCGGGGAGGGAGGACTTGATGGTAAGGCCTCAGGAAGGGAGGGTGTGTGAAGCTCTCCACCACCCAGAACTGTGTGAAACCGAGCCAGGGACTCCCAGCAGCCCCTACTGCTTGCTGGCTTTTCGTGAGCTGGGAGGACCCGGGAGCTCGTCTGCACAACCTCCTACTCTCTTGGGGACCCAGGAGACCAGTCCTCTGGCCTCGCCATCCCTCCGGACCCAGAAACCCTGCACGTGCCACCATGGAGCCCCACCGGACCCTGGCCCTGCTGGCTGGCTCCCTGGGCCTGGTGGTCACCCTCACTGCTATGAGCACAGACTGGTGGGTCGAGGTCAAGGGCCCCCACTTTTCAATTCATGCGGGCCTCTGGCTGAAAGGCCCAGTGGCAGGTAAGGGGAGTGGGCTCTCTTAGTCAGCCAGGGTTGCTATGACAAAATACGTCAAAGTGGGTGGCTTTGGTGGCCAGGACTGTGTTGCCTTACAGTTATGGAGGCCAGCGATCTGTGGCATGGGCACCGGCTCACTCTAGGGAAGATTCTGCCTTGTGTCTCCCAGCCTCTGGAAGGCCCAGGTTACCCTTGGTTTCTAAAAAGATCTTCACATGGTGCCTGTCCTCCCTCGGTGTGGTTTTTGTCTCCATGTCTGTCCTCCTTTTGATCAGACATCGCTAAGAAGGAATTAGGACCCACCCTAGTCTGTTATGGCTTCATTAAACCAAAGCAAACCAAAACCAGTCTCCTTCCAGTTGATTGATTCAGACGCCTGGAGATCCACGTGTTGCAGAACAGAACTGGGTGGGCCCCAAAGGCTCTCCAACGGCTGTGATCTTTCAGGAGATCAACAGCTTCCAAGGTGCCTGTGGGTAGGTTCAAACCACCAACCTTTTGCTTAGCCCTGGGTCCCCTCTAGGGAAGCCCACGTGACCTCATTAACTTAGTGCAGAACATCTCCAGAGGCAGACCGTATTTGCAAACAAGGTCACGTTTACAGATCCCAGGTGTTAAGACCTCCACGCATCTTTTGGGCAGAGGGGGGACACAAGTCTCTTGAGGGAGACTGACCCGTGGCGACAGGCACTTAGAGGTCCCCTCTCCAAGCAGAATACATCCACGTGACTCAGGCCTTCACCGTCCTGGCCTCGCTGGGGGCCCTGCTGTCCTTGATCATCCTGGGCCTGACTTTCATGCCCCTGCTGTCCAGCCCGAGCCGTGGTCTCCTGGTCTCCACCATCATAGTCCTTGCAGCAGGTAAGGACCCTGCGGGGTTGGGCTGCGCGGGGTGGGGAGCGCCCGTCGAACCGTCTCTCTCGTCCTTGTCCCCAGCTCTCTTCATGACGGTGGCCATGGTGGTGTACACCAGCGAGCACTCGAACCAGGATGGCTTGTCCCAGCTCCAGGACTCCTTCGGCTGGTCCTTCTACCTGGGCTGGGTCTCGTGTGTCCTCTTGCTGTGTACAGGTGACTGTGATCCTCCCCCCACCCCCCCGCCTCCCGGGAGCTTGGGGGGCGGGCGTCTAATCAGAGGATCTGAAGGAGCAAGTGCGGAGCAAATGCTCACCCCTCTCTCTGGCCACCTCAGGTTCTCTGAGTCTGAGTGCCTACTGTGCCCGCCCGTCTGGCTATGACACTCTGTGAGCAGGAAGCCGAGAACAGCAGGACGCGTCTGGGAGTGGTGTTCCGGAAGCCATCGGGAGTCACAGACATCCCTGAGCCTCCGTTCCTCACGCCCTCCTAGTCCTTCCCCACCCCTTCACTTGTTCCTTCCTTCATTCAACAACAACAACAACAAAAAAAAATGGCTGGGATCTGGCTATCCTGAGGTTCATTTCACCCAGGTAGGAGTCAACCAAGATCAGCTTCATGGCGAAGGACTCAAAGCCTGCCCTTCCCACAGGGGAACCAGTGTGGACACAGGCATGGCCCAGTGTCCTCCTCTCCCGGCCTCTGGGCCTGTTCCTTCTGTCCCCACCCCTCTCCTGTACGTCCTTCCTGGCCCTAGTCCCCTCTTTCTCTCCGATCCTGTGTGCGTCGTCTTCCTCGTTGTCCGTTTCATTCATTCTCTTCCCACTTGGCATTGCCTGACTGTCCCCTCTGCTGGGCCATGCTGGGGAGGCAGACGTGGCTGAGACCAAGCAGGCCCGCCAGAGCCTGGCAGTTTAGGGCAGGTGGCAGTTCCAGACAGGCCACACAGCAAAGCCTTCTGAGGAGAGGGGTTCTAGGAACTCCCTGACGGCTAAGGACCAGGCGCTCCCGCTGGTGGGGGCGGCGTTCACCACCGAGTCAGCTCCAACTCAGGGCACCCCTGCGTGTGCCAGACTACAGCTGTGACCCACAGGGCTCTCAGAGGCCGATTTGTTCTAAGTACATCAGCAGACTTTTCTTCCGAGGAGTCCGGGTGAACCTTTCACTCAGCAGCTGAGGTTAACCACTGCAGCACCCAGAGACTGTGGTCATCCAGGTGGATGGGCCTGTAGGATGAGTGATGCTTGGGGACTGGAATGGAGGACGTGGGGGGTGCTACAAAGGGAGAGTGGGGAGGTGTGTGGTGGCCACACCTGACTTTCTCCTGAGCGTGATGGGGAGCCAGGAGAAGACTGTGAGCAGAGGAGGGACAGTGTCAGCGCTGGGGGTCAGACAGACCCCTCAGGGTCTGCAGGGAGGTCGGGAGGTTAGGGAGACCTTGGTAATAAAACATGTGGAAGAGACTCGGGCCCAGCGCATGAGATGGGAAGGAATGAGCCCGACAGAGAATGCAGGGGCAGGAGGAACAAGTCTTGGGCGTGCAAGGGCTTTGTGGAGGGAAGGGGAGTGCGTCTGGGGGGAGGGTGGTGGCTGTCCCCAGTTTGGTGGAAGATGCTGACCTCAGCTGGGACATGGTTGAACTTGCCAGGTCTGAGAGACACCCAGGGGCAGGTAAGGCTGGTGCCTGAGGCTCAGGAGAGATCTCCAGGTCTTTATTCTGAGGCGTCCGTGGCTGGAATTGAACCTGCAGCCTTTCAGTTAGAAGCTCAGCGAGTTAACCATGGAATCACCCGCGACTCCAGCAAT